TTTCGTACTTTCTGTATTTTGTGACCCAGTTCGCAAAGTCTAACGGTCATTATTTTACTAAATGTCCTTTCTCGCCGCTGCTGTTTTCCAGCTGTGTTCCACTACCTTAGTTCTTGCTGTTGCTCATCTGCTCCTCATCCCTTGTAGATCTCTGTAGTAAGTGTTGTGAATGTGCGCCTTTAAAACCCCCCTTCGACTGACGACTAGACTCACTGTGCGGCCGCAACGCCTTTGTCCTCTTTCGTCATGCTGCAGTTTCTGTTCTTCATCTGACAACACATTCAACTTACACTCATTTGGACCGCACTAATTTACTTTATCCTCTGAGACATCTTACACGGAAGTATTTCCTACGAAATACAGTTCTTGCAATTTTCTCCACACTTCAGCTTTTGCATTCAACCCTACGCAGTTACAGGTTTATCACACGTTTGTTACTTAGCCAACCGTGATACTGCGTCCGATAGAGCACTCTCTGTGGCGTTCAGTGAACACGGATTGGCTCATATACGGTATTTTCAAAGGCACCTACGGAACAAGGAGTTATCCATTGTTCGCCATTCATTTACATCTACCTTCTTGCACTTTCAGCCTTTTCTCCAGTTTTGCCCGTGAGCAGCTCCCACCCATCGAGCTGCTGACGGATATGCCTCAGCTGGGGTGCGCACACGCGTCGATGACCAAATTGTGAACAAAAAGTAGTATTGTCTCAGTGCTGACCATGGAAATTTTGGGGAGACTCACAGTTTGCTCTTGACCAGGAAGGTATACACGGCACTCCAAACATGGTTTGCCGTTGCGTGTGCTCTTCCGAGAATTGCGAGAAATTCATTAAGACGAGGATAACGCTTTCTAACTGCATCAGATTCCTCCACTAAAAGGATGTACGAACTTGTGTACAAGAAGTCAGGCAACACATCAAGGTAGCCGACGCACTTTGGCTTTGTCCATGTGTACGTCTACACACAAAGAAGTGCGATTGCTTGACTGAGACAATCATACATTTGGTTACTACAAATAGCGCACCCACAGAGGTACACGGGGCCACGCTTATAACAAGACAACTAAAACCCCGCTTTTATACCGAAGAAGTGAGCGAGTCGTTTCAACCGCACTGACGCGGCTGTAGCTCCAAATCCTACTACTTACCTCACACCCATAAACAGAAACTCTTCGAGTTAAATAGTAAAGTCACATGGTCACTGCGAGTCAGGGGTGTGCTTGTAAGTATTCCGTTGACCATGAGTTTTTCATTGGTGAGTACAATACCAAGTATCGACGGCCTATTAGCAGTTCATAATCTGGTGGAAGTGGGCACGTGGTTGTAATGAGGGTAGCTGGAAATTACCTCATGTAAACAGGTTTTGAACTGCAAGCTCTCGGTCGCCGCTATATCCAGATCGTGCATATTAAAGTTGCTTGCTTCCATTCATAAGTAATACCAATTCGCCCGTAGGGATTCCACAAAATGCTATGTCGATTCATAGCTGCCGTAACCGGGAAGTCCTGACGCCGGAAGGCCGACCGCTGTCATCTGCATGGCAGGTGCCTGCATGGCAGTGGAGGATAGGTCAGGCTATATCGCATTTAGCTAACAATTCGTGATAGTAGGATACCGTCCTCCATGGCGCAGTTGCATAAGCTGCGGGCTAGTTGGCAAGAGCCACTAGCAGTCATGGGTACGATCCTCCGCAGAGGACCGAAGGATGCGCACCACTGATGAGCCCCAATAGGGCGAAACGGCCGTCTGGTGCCTTTCCGGACAGCTGGTCGACATATCTGAATTGTCGGCAGATTGCGACGAACAAAAATACTCACCAAAATCCTTCCATTCATAAGTAAAGTTGCTTGCGATGAGAATGTGACTGTTTGTTGCTCAAAGCAACCTGAAGGACGTGGTTTAGATTGGAGCCATTTTATAAGTAGCGTTTGGTGAACACTAACTCATAGCTATAAGAAATGTGTTTGTTTCGCAACCATAGCCGGTAACAAAGCGAACCTAGGGCGCGGATCTCTGGGTGGTCAATAAGTTCACATTGGTGGTTAGCCTTGTAATACAGTTACGCCACCACCTATTCCAACTCTGCCAGTCCGGAGCAGTAACAAGCCAGGTAAATTGACTTCAGAAGCTGTTATCTTAAGACTTAACCAAGTCTCCGTAATTATAATGTGATCACGCGGTTGTGACGCCTGGCATTCTCTAAATGTGGCCAAATTACTAAGAATACCTCGGGCATTAGTATACAAACATGGTAGTGTTTTTGAGCTTAGAAGTGTGTGGGTGGACAACAAATTCCTGTTTAGGTTTAAGCCGCCGGTTGGTTGGTCGGTTGCCGATGGTTTTTGCGTGGGTCATTAGTTCGTGAATTTCAGGCAGGCTGCATGGTAGCAGAGAGCATCCTATATCTAGATGTTCTTTCGTGTGTCTCCCTGTACCGTCAGGTGTCGCTAATGCCATCTTGTCTACAAGCCTGCAAGATTGTAGAGGCAAATATTTTATTGAGGTTGCATGTTCGAATGAAGTGCTGCAAACTAGTGGCCTTGAGCTTGCTAGCTTTCACCTAATCTCAGTAGGCCATCTGGAGAGATGGTTCAATCAGCTATCCAAATGGACTTCTGTCATTTCATCGGAGTGTAGCAAGACTTTCAATAGTTTAGGACCACAGCCCTTGTACTTCGGAAATTAAGGAATCCTGATTACTGGTTTAGCGATGACGTGGCCCAGAGACAGTGCTTCGCGGAAGTAACACCACTGCTCTCGGTCAAGATTTGCGCTTCGTGATCAGGAGAGACCAGTAGTTCAAGAACACCATGCGTAAATACGGTTTTCTTGTTTTCGTTCGTAGAAGGGCCGCCTTGACTTACCATTTTCTTTAACCATCACTTCCAAGGAATAACTGGTAGTACTTTTATCACGTTCGATGAGTTGCAAAGATGAACTGCTGAGAGTAGGACTATCTCCATCTCTTCAGTTGAATTCAAGTTTACTCGAGGAAATCGGGGTTTGCCGTAGTGTAATGAATTTGGGTGAGGCGCTACGCTTCGTAGCCCAGTTGCTTCAACACGAATATCAGTCGCATCGCTGATGGAATGCCAGTGGTTCCGATCATCTACCAACTAGCCCTTTATTGTGTAAGATCTGGACTCAGGAACGTTGATGCATAGGACCGTTAACGCACTGTGTTGCTGTTTAGCGAATGTCGGGTTGCGTGTTATGGCAGGTAACTTGGATTGTTTAACAGGCACTAAAAAACAGCGTCGCATCGCTCATGTTTGGTCCAGAAAATGGACGTACTGGTGTCTCTTTGGGCGTTTGTATCGAGCCGATCGATGAGACCGTTACCCGGCTCTGGACTGTTGATGTCGGTGTGGTGACCAACTCGTGAGTTATGGCATCTAGGGATGAGTTGCCAGCAGTCACATCGGATATGGCTTGTCTACTTAAAGGATGGGTAATTGTTGGAGTACGTGCCGCAGATGCCGTCGGGCGGTCATCAATCCTCACTTTAGCCTTCGACTTAGGGTCAGAGCTCTGAGGGGTTTGCTGTAGAGCAAGCTCGGTGTTGTTAGCTTCTAATGGCAAAGCCCTGAAGCTCGCCATCTGCTAGACTGTTTCAGTCAGCTTTTCACAATTTTACCATAGCTATTCTGCATTTGGCTATTTGGATTTCTCTGCTTTTGACAAAACCAGATCGAATCAGTCAGATTGATTTGTCTCTTGTATTGTAGTTAACTTAAACTAGCACAGATGGGGTGGAACATTAGGCCGAAAAATTCACAAACAATGCCTCGTCTAGCTGGGCGTGTACACTTTTGCTTACAACATTTGCGGTCAGGTGCAGTCAGTTCCATTTAAGGCCGTTGTTGCAAATGATCGCTGCACTTGTCTAGTCACGTGAGACAGAGGGCGGGTGACGCTTGCCTTCTTTGTCCCAGCCACGCTGTCGACGTCTGTTATCGTGGGTGAGTGTGCACGACGAGGACCCACGCACACTTAATGTGGCTGGCTTGTTGTTCCACACTGGTTCCTTATTAGTGAGTTGGCCAAACCCCATCACAATCAGGAGAGTCTCAAGATATTATAATGATGTTCGAAGATTAACTAGGCTGTGAAAATAGCGAAGTTGAGATCGCTCTGCTCGGTAGATCACTTCTCCGGAACAATAGAACTGGTAGGGGAAGTGTGCTCGTTTATTAAAATACAAAGCTTCACTGTGAGCTCATAGATAACAAACAAAAGTGAGTACCTAATCTGTTTTGGTGCAAAATATGGTTGAAGGACGAGGACCCATACCTCGTGTCCGTAGTTTACCGGCCACCGAAATCCATTACGGAAATGGACCGTAGACTAATAGAAGCATTTCGTATTGCGAAAAATCAGAAATACATCCAAAATCGCATTAAAGAACACCTTAACATCCATTATCCGGAAAATCCAACAGCCGAGGGATAACAGTTCAAAGCCTAATTGCAAGAACTAATCTCTAACACACCCCTATTCAAATACCTCGCCGCTTTCACCACGTTCGGCACAGCGAATAATTTAGCACTGCGAGATCTCGTGCTCACCACGGCGGAGCTCATGGTTGCTGGACTAAATGTATGCAGTCTTTTGGGTCGAAGTGAACACGCGACTTTACTGTTCGAATACATTTGCTACTACGAACCCCCCGATGCAGAGCCTGATAGTATGTAATATATTACGCTTTACCACGTATTGTCCACGTTCGTTTAAAACACCAGATGGCCATTCATGACTGAGCGCATCCCAGAAATAGCCTGAGAAACATTCTTGAAAAGCTTCACTTCACCAGTCGCGGAAGCGCTATAGCCAAAAGCTTTCCATCGTCCACTGAAATCAAAATCCCATCTGAGAAGCCAGACCTTAAAATATTTGAGTTTGAGCGATCGAACACGGCGCAATTAAAAATCAGTCCCAGCAAGAATACTGGACAGCGTATGTGACTCAGCGCAACTAATGTCTGCAGTGGGTCCATGGGGGCAAATTAACGCACCAGCATGAGTTAGAGAACCGATTTTGTTCACCACCTAAGTGAAATTATGAAGAAAAACAACATTCGACTGCCATTGCCCACGGAACTGGTGAAAAATATGCTCTTGCTGTACACAAAAGACGACAAGATTTCCTCTCAAGTAGAAGCATATCGATGGATCGATGGTGTTTCTATGGGCAGCCCATTAGACCCCTTACCAGCGGACCTATTCATGATATGATTGACGAGAAATTAGATCACATTATCAAGTCCGGAACTTTATATTAACGTTATGCTGAGGATATATTGTTAAGCGTGGACTCAGATGATGATACTGCAGTTACAGCCGAAGAGCTCAATTGTGTGCATCAGAACTTTACTATGACATGAAAGCGAGTAAGACAGTTGTCTTTCGTGCTTAGACATATTGATCCCACAACGACCTGATGACTCGACAAAAAGATCAGGCTACGGGAAGTCAACTTGGACAGGTCAATACTTACAAGTTAAGTCTTTCTCGCTAATGCATCACAACGGCTCTCTATTCATGAGCTTGTTAAATCGAGCTCCTTTGATCAGCACCACATACACCCTGGAGGCAGAGAAGCAACTGCTGTTTTACGTGGTACAATCTAGTGATTATCCATTGCAATTGTGGGACGATGAAACGAGATCGAGAGATAACGGTTCAAAAAAACAGGCTTTCATTGAGTTACCTTTCAAATGTGAATACATGAAAACCACTGCTAATAGAACAAGTGCCTCAAGGAAAGAGGTACAGCGCAGCCGAATCACGTTTACTTGTAAGCACAGGACTACTACGAAGACACCTATGTCGAAGCGGTGCACATCCCATTGCTTATACAAATTTACCTGTAGATGTGGTGACAGTTATGTTGGGCGCACTACTCGAAATCTGGGCGTTCGAATTTAGAAACACATTACAAACTGGCGCCGCGAACTGATGGGACATGTGAGCGTCGAGAAACAATGTTGCCTCCGCAAGTACGAGGCAGTTGCTTGAGCACCAGTCATCAACTAAACCCGGATAAGTCATTCACATTATTCATGGGCAGTCAGATTCCTCATATACCCAAGGTACTCGAGGCCACAGTTATCGATCGACAGCGCCCACCACTATGTGTCCAAAGACGGATGACGGTAACATTAACTCGGTCGTAGTAGCGTGCAACGCAGTAGTCGGAAAACCCTTGATCAGTAATTCATTTATGGTGACCTTGTTTTGCATTCCTTGTTAGTTGCTTTTATGTACTTGAAGAGTATGTACGAAATGACAGTATCATCCCACAAGCTTTGTTTTCTGGTAATGTTATTTGGAATTATAAAGAGAAATTCAAGCGTTAGGTTCTGTTCCAAACAAAAGCTTCCTTAGAAACGTGAGTATAGACTTCATAAGGTGCATTGGGGAATACCACCACTCATTACACTTGGCTGGTAAAGACACCCAGCGAAAAAGGCAACCTACATCTTATGGGCACAATAATCTCCTACTTGCCAAGAGGTAGAAGGATCGAACGGTATTCCTGGTTGTGTCATTCTACCATCAGTTTTAATCCAGCGTCACATTAACGGCACAAACGGCACTGAAAAATCGACTATGCTTGAGTACACACAGCTCTCCCGGAGTGCATAACACCTACCCGAAAGCACTGCAAGTAGCAGCCAAGCACCTAGCCGTGCCCGTATCTGGATTCTTTTAGCGTTGTCTAAACAAAACATAGTTCTGTCAAAGTATGAATGATCACCTTAATTCACTAGCGAGGCAGTCGATTTGGACTTGCGGATTACCGCCCGTTAACGCTCCTCCGTGGGCTTGTCATGGTGATGGGCGAGATTAATTATGATGCACGGATGGTCTACCTGGAGAGCTAGGGCATCATCACGCAGCAGAAGCACGGTATTCGTCAATATTTATCATGTGCGACGAATTTGCTGATAGTGCACATTAACTGGACCGAAAAATCGACGAGGTAGCAATAGCCGATGTTCTCTACTTGGACTTTTTGAAAACTTTCGATCGCTTGGATCATCGAAATCTGACAGACAAACTTCAGCACTAAGACATCGAAGACCCAATACAAAGATTGATCGGCAATTTTATCCGCGAACGTGAACCGGAAATTCGATTCCGAACATCTCCCTTCGCTCCAATTCGAGTGCAGTGCGGCATTAGGCATGATTCAGTACTTTGGCCTCTCCTGATCATAGTTTGTATGAACGATCTAGCGAGATTACTCACGTCTAAATCTTTACCTCACGGGGACAGCGTTAAGTTTTGGCTAGTGGGCAATGGAATTAACGACCATGAGTCCCATTCGCGCAAAGACGAGGAGACCGGATATGAGTCAGTGAAGAACGCACTACCATTCAACATTAACTGGTGCCGCCATCGACATGCTTACATCTACAACTTTGGGGCGCACGATCTGCATAAATGCCATTAAGAACGTGACTTCGGTGCGTCTGTACAGGACTATGTGGGTTGTTCCAGACAGTCCAAATCCGCTTCCAACATAAATAACCAGCATGATGGCCTCTTGCAGTGGGCATACGGTTTGGATTCTCTCATCTCCTCTCTGATCCTCAATACTCATGTACCTCACGAAGTCAAGTACACTGTTAAAACTTGGCAAACTTGATCAAATCTTGACTTTGCAGTGCTCGAAACTTCCCAACGTAAAGCAACGAAATCTAGCAATAGCTTGTACCAACTTCCGTGTCATGAAGGACTGAATAAACTCGAAGTGTTCAGTGGAGGCCAACGATGGCTATTTAGTGACCTCATAGTAGTGTACCCAATACTGAGCTACCCTGAGCGCAAATGCCTCCACCGTCTGAAACTCTGTCTAAACATCAACATTAGAGGCAACTGCCTGAAACTGACTCCGCAATACGAGCATACAGTTCGTCTACGAACTTAATTTAACCTCCGGGTCTTCCAACCCCGGAAGGCACTTCACAACTTAATTGTCTGCGCTCTTACATTAGCTATATTCCTAAAGCGACTAAATAGCGAATTGAAGATCTTACATTTTGTTACAGGTATGTTTATTTTGCATGCATCTAGACTAGCTGTTATTTGGAAGTATAACTCACAGTAACACATGTAAACATCTGCAGATAAGAGAGGCATCTGCTTTCTACTTGCTGTTAGTATTAGTCCTAATGTGACGGGATTATGCACTCATAGGAAAGTGACATATTTGCATGAAGAATACAGCGGATAGCTTGCTACAAGAGAAGGGAGCAGATAATCGGAGGCTTTTGCATCTTCAACGTACCTGGTTGGTTCACCTTTGGCAGTGTTAGAGTGAGTTTGTTTAACTGCTTCAAACAACGAATCTCATGAATACATTGGTGTTGTTAGTTATGGAAGTGACTTGTTAGTTACATAGAGCTTTCTTCAAGTTACTCATGCTGTTAATTTCGCTGAAGTGGTTTTGTTGGATAAACAATCTGTTTCTAAAAGACAGGGTTTTACGAAATGCTGTCAGAGATGACCAAGGCTAGATCACGGAACCGTGCTAGGTTGCTGATTAAGGCGCGGCCAACCGGGCAAAAACCTGTCCTGTAGTGCATGAAAGAACATAACTTGTTCAGTAACTGGGGAATTTCTGAAAGCAAACTGACTGATTTCTGCATAATGCAGGATCTGAAAAGAAAACAATGTTTCGACATGCGATCGGAGATTAAGGAGGCCGCCTTCTGAAAACGAAGCAGCACGAAAAGGAAAAAGGCTCATCCGTTCTGAAAACAGTCATCAGAACATTCGACGATCACTGTGAGGACCACACTAACAAGGCATATCGACTTATTTTTTGTACGCAAAACAAACCTCCTGTAAGAATCAAGCAAGTATTATGTTATGGAGCTGAAAATCTCGGCTCGTTCCTTTAACTATTGCAACGTTCACTGACTCTCTTATCTGATATAGGATCGTGCTGAGGATCAATGCTGAAAACAAAACTAAGCGGCTGTTATGGAAACGGCAACTCGGTCTGACAATAGCTGGGTTTAACCCATAGTGAATCGTCAGCTGAATGTAAAATCCGACAAACGCGATTACCGACTGATGCAGAGATGTGTGCGCTATCCAGTTCGCCAAACAAAACAGCGCATTCTATTATCAAGACAAAAGAAACTCGCAAAACCTGCGCCATAAAATAACCGAAGGAACCTGATCAATGTCCTGGTTTTGGACGAATATGTACCGAAGATGGCGGACAAAATCATTTCTTATGATACTGCCAGTCTTCCAAAGTGAATTCACTCAATCATGACACAACACCCTCAGACACTGAACACTCAGACAGCAAAGCATCGCGTACTGGAATGTAACGGACAAATCACAGTCTGTTTGATACCACCTAAGCATTTCCAAAGTCCCTACCTATTCGCTGCCCGGACTCCTATCAGCTGACATTTGCACTGTTTGATTGATTGGACTATTGATGGTTTTGCTTTACATCGCATCTGACTGGGTTGCTTACTCGGCTGTGTAACCGGTTGGACTTTAGGTAATTGTGCCAGCATTTGGTCATGTTTAGAATCGGCTTAACTTGGAGAACAGCACTATTGTACAGTTGTGTGGACATTGTCAAGTTGAGTAGCTAATTTGTTGCCCTAACCCTTTGCAAAAATAGCACCGTAGAGGATTTCCGGCTTTGACTTTTGAATTGACCCGCTGGAATCTTACATGTTGCTTGAATCCACCACCGATTTGATGGTAACAGTGCTTGGCAATCCAGAATTTGTATTTATGTTTACAAGTATTCACAAAAAGCGACTCTCCGTTTGGCCGGACTTGCTTTGGGTTCGGCTTATTTGATACGGCCACCTTATGACGCGTTAACTTGTTGGATTCACGTGCAGTGTGATAGATTGCGACAACGCAACCATGTGACCGTATCCATCGACTAACCAAAGCAGTCTTTTCTCATTTCGATCTGATCAACAATCGCGACAGAGTTTATTCATGACTGCCCTGAATCACCCCCCTGCTTTGGGTTCTTTGCGGTCAACTGGTTTTGCTTTTATTGGAATTCCTTACTTTATGGCCTATTCTCACGTGTCCGAATTACCCAATGAGGATGCTGGCCTTTACACGATGGAATTTCCATATGGACCTTGCTCCGCGGTTGGACGTCAGCTTTTGGAATTAATGGTTTTACCTGTGGAAACGTTAAAACTTCTCCTCGTGAACTATTTCTTCTGGGAGCTCTGGACTGTTCCGTTCCTCCATAGCACGAAATGATGAGAGTTAGGGGAATGGTTGGCGGCTGGTATATTTTGAGTAGAGCGTTCAAGTTTCCTGTCCGTTGGCGAGCACGATCGCTTCTTTTTCTGTACACCCGTTTGGCATTTTTCGGACTTCTGTGTTTATGGCAGCTTGCTCTAGCCTTTCGCCGGCACATCTGTTTCACTGTGGACCGACTGGCGACAATTTTGCATGGTGGCTTGATTAAGTATGATTAGCGCATTCGATGGAACACCTTTTGTTATGATCGCTCTGTGGAGGTTCATAAAAGGAATCACAAAAATTACTCTGATACCGGTCTTCTCAGTGCCCACCAAGACGGTCTAGAGGACATGCGCCCATCAAATCAACGACAGTTGAGGTTGGGTGGTCCAAAACTATCTAGCGTTTACGATTTGGAAACTGGTTACTACCTTCCTATCTTTTTGAACGCATCAGAAGGCCAGATAGTAAACAAACTACTTCGGTTCGCTCTGGCCGATTCACATATTCTACCAATCCACGTGTTAGTCCAGGTGGCCATTAATTGTGGCGCTATGATGTGGATGGATTCATTTTTGGTTTGACAGCAGTGTTGGAACTGGGTTTGGTGCCTACAGTTGTTGCTTGGTTGCTCAGTCTGTGCTCTTCTCTAGCCACGAGCTGAATGCGCTATTCATGGACAGTAGT